CTTTGTATGACTATTTCCATCTACCTTGTTACTTTTTTAAAGTGTAGATATTATGGTTTAAATCTTAGGGAATACTACACCTGCCCAAAAAAAAATGTCCACCGTTATAGTGTAAAGCATAATACATTCTGATATTAAGTCAAACAAAAAGTTCAATTTAGAGTAACAAAAAGTAGAGTTGTAAGACGTACCTTACATATTATGTCTTTTATTTATAGAGGAAATCTCTTCGCGTTGGTTCATATGTATTAGCTCGATTTAGTCTAGTTGGCTCAACCTAATTAGTTTGAGTCTAGTCTGATAGTCCAGTGCTAAAGACTCAAGTCTTAACTTATGTCATTTAATTGACCGTATTTTCAAGTGAATCTAATATTAATTTCACCCCTAACATTAGTCTCAAATTTTAGATTTGTTCCATTTTATTTGTAAACTTTCACAATATTTATTTTAATCTATGAACTTTAATAAAATAATTTTTTGGTTATTGCACTATAAAACATACATATTGTAGTCCTTGTATTTCTAAAAAATAACCATTTGATATTTACTATTCTTTTGTGAGATAATATTTGCTCCCCAATATTCATCTTAGTCAATTATGTCATACAAATTAAGATATGTATCAACATGTAACAAACATACATAAAACTAGTCTAACTACGTGTTAAAGCAAAATTAAGGTAAAGAACAAAATTATTGTTGTCAATAAAAAAATTATGGACTACATTTTTAGTTTTAAAATGAAAATAAAATAATTTCGTTAGAGTAAAAATAATAATATTAACTTTGGTGCTCAAACTTTTACAAAATATAATAATACTAACATATTTGGATTATTTTAATTCATTTTATTTTTATATAATGAAAAGTGACTTTGGAATATTAATATTTGAAGTTTAAATAAATAATTTGACAACAAAGTTTAGAGAGAAAAAAGTTAGAGAATAACAAAAATCTTAGAGAAATAAATTATAGGAGTGAATGACCAAAATTAACCTAGTTTAAATATCTCCGACTAAAAGATAATGAGTTCGAATCCCAACCCATATGTTGTACTAAAAAAAAAGTAGGGAGTGATAAAAAAATTTTCAAAATAAGAAAAATAAAATAATATTTTTCAAAATTTAAGATAAAAATGAGCTAAAATAGAAACACAATTTTAAAATTTAAAACAATAACCATTTTAAAATTAATTTCTATTAATTTTTTTGACATAAAATTACTTGAAAATCACCTGTCTAAGTAATTAGTCAGGAATTACTTGTTTTTGAATTTTTCTAAAATTTACCAAACATTTGATTCTAAAATAATACTAATTTCGACATTAGTAAGAATGATTCTAACTATTCTATATATGTTCTATTAAAAAAAAAATAAGAAAAAAACTTTTTAGATGATTGATCTGTCCGTCCCTATAAAATTAAATATTTGTGAATTTACTTACATACCCCAACACAACTGAAAATTCTCTCCTACGGCTACCGGCCATGTTTGCCCCATCCCTACTCGCCGTCCACTTCAATCATTAAAATGTCAGAACTGAAAAAAAAAAAGAAAAAAAAAGAAAGAGATAGACTCAAAGAATGGAGAGTTGGCAACTTAATAAAGTACAAGAAGATTTATTACAAAAATATTAATGACATGGTCGACTAATCTATAGTTTTTAAAACAATTATAAATAGTATAGCAGCTCATTTCATCGTTATAATATCATTCTTTCTAGTCAATCATTGGTCAAATGATTCAAATTATGTCAAAACGAGCATAACTTAACGGTAATTGTCATATAGGTTGAGTTCAATCTCACACCCCACGTGTTGTATAAAAAAAGAATGACTCAAATGATAATTTAAAATTATTTTTCAAACTTAAAAAATGAAGTGCAGCTTTTAAAATTTAATGAATCAAATAGGCATTGAACTCAAATTTCAAATACGGTCAACACAATATTAAAATAATTGATTTTGGATTTTGGATTAAAATAATCAATTCAGTTTTTTCCAATAGACAGAAATTACAAAAAAATAAAATAAAATAAAAAAGTCTGCGATGAATATGCAAAATGCGGTTGGCAAGTACAATAGCGAGTGAGAGGCAGTTTTAAATTAATTTGTCAAAAGAATTGAAGTAATTATGATTGCAAAATGGCTTTTTTTTTCTGTCTTTCAAAGCTTCTTTTGCTTTTTACTGTTTATCATAATAATTATTATCATTTTGTTGGGCTTTTGATAATTGAGAAACCGTCGTTTTAGATGTAAGGCTAAGGCATGCCAGCTTGTTCTGAAAACGACCTGTCGATTTTATATCATCATCTTTAAATTCACTGTCATGTTTTTATTTATTTATATATTCTTTTAGGATATGTTTTTATTTATTTATAAGTTGAACAAATGTGAGAATTCCAAATATCGAATATCCTACTACCTAGGTTGGCACGTTTTTAGTTTCTTGTGTTAATTTCATAAATTAAATTCATATTTTATTTACAACTTTTTGGTCCTGTTTTCTATGATATTTTAAATCAATGTTTTTTTTTTGTACTTATATTGTCATTATTTAGTTTTTCACTTTTTTTTTTAAAGAAAAACTATTATTTTAGTTATTACGATTATCTAGTCATCAGTCGTTTAATATATTGAGAAGGTGAATTAAAATACGTGTGCTAAAGTATTAATATAGACATGTATTAGAATCGGAAAAAAAACAGACATGTATTGGATTAAAGTCACATAAATTATTGGTGTTGCTGAGACAAATATTGAGTGAGCAAATATCRCGTGGTTGAGTAATAACCAAAAAAAAAAAAAAAGATTTTAAAAGAAGTAGACTATAATTAACCTCTTTAAATTTGAGTAACTAACAAATGAGAACCAAGATGTTACCAAACCCTGAAATTTCAATTAAAATTAAAATTTTCTCTAATATTTCTATACATTTCTCGTTTAATAAAACATGGAATTAAATTACAAATTTAATATATGAGGTATATAATAGATCCTTAAACCATAAAAAAGTATAAAATAAATTAGGGTGTGCGGATTGGTATCAGAAAACACAAATCTAAAATTAAGAAATTCAACGAAAACAAATTGTATTATTTGTTTCAAGTATTTTCAAATATATGCTTAATAGTAAATTTGAAAATTGAATCTCGATTTAAAAAATTGTTCAACTACTACCAACTAAATATTTAGTTTAATATGAAATAGTATTAATTAATTTACTAACATTTTTGTTATAAATTTTGTATAAATATTTTATATTACAATGTTGTATAATTTATAACATATTATATTTTACCTAACATAAAAATGTTGTAAACAGTTTTAAAAAACAAAAGGTCAACCAATTCATATTCACTAAATTTCGTAAATTTAATTGAAGAAATAATTGGAAAATAAACTAGTAGGTACAAGAACGAGTAATAATCCCGAGCAAATCTGAAAACCACAAACAGAATCCCAAAATTGAAGATTGAAATATCTATTAAATATACAGTTTGAAATTGTACATATTAGACATTTTTTAAAAGTCAAACACTCATTAAATAAAATATCAAATGTTTTCGAATTTTTTTAAAAATTTAAAATTTTAGTTACTTATTAAGCACGAGTGTAAAAAGATTGGGAACTAAATTTAAAATTTAATAGAAAAAGAAAAAAGGTTGAGGCCAAATTTAGCGAGGCATTGGAGTAGAAAGAAAGCGAATGGAGGGGCACGTGGAGGTTAAGATTCTATTAAGTTTGACCAATGGAATGGGTAGGTGGAGCTGAGTCAGACTCCACGCATGACACACAATTACACGTGCCCGCTTCCGCATCGGACGCTGCCAATACGAGACACGACAAATCCTACTTGTAAATTTGATTTGTCTCCWACGTGTTGGTATTATCCTGCCACGTGTTTTATGGTCCTTCCAAACCGTGGGACGGACAAGACACCCTTAGCTCATGGTTTTCCCCTCATAAGACTTCAATGTATTAATGGTTAAATTATAAATTTGATCTTATAACTTACACGTTTAATATTTATAATTTTCAAAGTTTTGAATTTAATTTCTTTAGATTGAATTTAATTTCAAGTTAGTCTGTCTCGCTTTAAAAGTTTCAATTGTCTCTATAGTTTTTAGTCAAATTTCACAAATGGTCCTTTTCGTTATTATATTGATAATTTTCTCTTTCACACGATAATTTTTTATTCAAGTAACTGTGCTAGTTGAGTGTATTAGAGTCTAGGATTTAGTAAAAATAAAAAAATAAAATATTTTTCAAGTGGGTAAAACATAATTTAAAGATGACTGGTGAGATTTAACTAAATCATAGAGATCGAATTGAGATGTTTTCCATAAAGACTAACTCGAACATTTTAAAAACATAAGAATCAAATTGAAGTTAAAAACCTAAATTATGAGGGCTAAATTGAAACCTTTAAAACTACAAAGACCTAATTCAAACTTGGGCAAATTGTAGAGCAAATTTTGTAACTTAACCTTTATTAACAATTGAATTCTAACTGAAAAAAAGAGAAGGCAATATTAATTGCTTAATACTCTCATTTAAGTAAATAATTATTATACCTTTAATAGAGCACACTCTCACCTCAGCCCATGGTTTTAGTTTAGTAACTATTTTCTAAAAGCTAGC